TAAAATGGTGGAGCTGAAGACAATGGTGGATATAGAAAACCCGGATATCATTTCTGTCTCAGAAACACGGTTAACGTCAGAAGTGTTTGATAATGAAATTCAGTCGACTGGTTTTTTATCTAGTAGAGCTGATCGACTAAACCGAGGGGGAGGTGAGTTTGTTTTGTACACAAAAAGTAACATAACCATACGAGCTGTTGAGACAGCGGTACATGATTCAGGGTCATGTGAACTGGTGTGTTGCAGGATGAAATGTAGACTGCAAGATATTGAATTAGTTGTAGTATACCGCAGTCCAGAATGTGTAGTATATCGCCTCTTCCTAAGCAAACTAAAGTAATGGTGTAGTGTGGGGTGAGAGCGCTATAGTATGCAACTTTAATGCGCCGTATATAGACTGAGTAAACTTAGAAGTAGAGTCATCGATAATGTTGTTGGATTGCGAATTGTTAGAAACGACAATTGCCTTAGCTTTGTTTCAGCACGTTAGAGATCCCACGAGATATGAATTACGGGGCGCTTCTTTTTTCTTGAACTTAATCCTCTCACACGATGATGATTTCGGTCAAATGCCTTTTCTACCACTTCTAGGGAGAAGTGAACATGCAGTCACCTTATTCAAGTTTATGGCTCAGATGGCCTGAGAAGTAGTAGAGCCAGCCCGTCCTAACATATGGAAGGCAGACATGAAGGCGGTAAACTCCCCAGAATCTGCTAAAAAATGGATAATTGACCCAAATTCTTTCGTAGAAGAGGCATGGACTCATTTCAGGCAGTTATTCCATTGGGTAACTCGACCATATATACCCTGGACAGTCCCAATAAAGAAGAAGCACGGCTATCCCTGGATAGGCCGGGATATTTGACATCTACGAAGACCAAAGAAGATATGTTTGAAGGTTGCCATCACCCTTGGCACAACAAGTACCATGGAGCACTGCAGGTTGGAAAGAAATAAATATATAATTCATTCTGGGAGACTAAGGGAAAATATAAAATGCAGTTGACACAATCTGCAGTCATGCAGCCTTAGAGACTATTCTCGTACAGAAATTACAGAACAAGGTGCAGCATTGTATTCCTAACCCAATTGCAAAAGGGGGTGGATCTCAAATAATAGAGGATGGTGAGAAAAAAGGGGAGGCTATGGCAGTTTCACTCAAGAGCCTCTTCTAGACGGAGAACTAAACCAAAATACAAAGTCAACAAACCGTCTACCTACCGTGAACTTTGATCTGAACGATGTACTTTAGACACGGAAAAGCTAACAAGACCGGATGAACCAGGCCCCAAAATCCTGAGAAAAATTGCACAATATATTGCAACCCCACTAACTGATATTCAATATGCTACTTCACCAGTGTCGTAGTTGAAACATTGGAAAGAATAGTAAAAAAGACCATAATGACATTCGTGGAGACCAACAACTTGTTAAACAACGATCAATGTGCTTCAGAAAAGGTTTATCTTGCCAAAAAACACCTCCTTATAGCAACGGAGCAATGGATAAAGGCTCTAGGCAATGAAAATTCAATGGATGTTGTCTACATAGACGTCAGCAAAGCATTTAACAATCCTCAAAGCTGAACACAAAACATTTGAGAAAATAGATTTCAACATTTAACGTATAGAAAACACTCACTAACGTTACAGACAAAGAGGATATCCTACTGGCTAGTCACTTACTGAAATCAAATTGGAACATAATAATACTGCCTGATATACCGTTTTCCGAGCGCAACCTTATCCGTAACATTCCTATGGAATCTCACGAGAAGCTTTTCCGCGTACGAAATATCATTGTGCAATGTGTACCTGAAAACACGGACCCGGATCACACTAACTTTGATATTCGGGAGTGGAAATTCATCAAACAGTCCTTGAAGCTCAAAAACATATTGACTGAACAAGTTGTGAGGCCAGCCAAGAAGGACGGGGATTTTAGACCCCAGCTGATGAAGATAACCTTCAAATCCTCCCATATGACGGCTGCAAATCTCGGAGCATTTCGTTCCAACAGATGCCGGTCGCCAACTGGAATCCATATGCATTCGGATGGGTCACATGATAACAGGATCAATCACAAAGGCAAGTTGGGGTTGACCATTCCACTTGTGAACTGTCTAGATCATAAAAAACGTGGAAACGACAGCGACTTTCAAACCGGGAAAGCTTGTATAGGTAAGCTACCTGTCCATTCACATAAGGCCCATACATACAAACAAGAAGGAGAAGCTCAACTTGAAAGCATGAACTACTTATACATAAACGCCGCGTGTTTGCCAAATAAAATGGACGAGTTAAGCGAACTTAGTAACGCTAACAATGCTCATCTGATGGGAATATCTCAATCTTGGATATCTCCTCAGTTTACGGACCAGGAGCTAACAATGCCCGAAGTGTCTTTGTTTTATAATGACAGGAAAACAGGAATTGGAGGTGGAGTAGCCTTTTACTGACGATCCTGCTTGGAAGTACATCAAGTGCATAACCAAGAGTTTATCAATCTTGATGAATCCCTATGGTGCTCAGTAAGATTGTCCACCGCCTCGAGATGTCTACTCGGAGTCAACTACAGGAAGCCCACTGCTGAAATCCAGTACGACAATCGTGTGCTGGGAGGATTATCCCTCTTTACTCGTCTCGGATTCTCTCATATCCTGATTCTAAAGTACTTCAATCTTCTTAAGGTCAATTTCGCGGAACACACGTTTGATGGAGGTGCGAACTCTACTGAAGCTCGGTTCTTCAACCTCATTAAAGATCTGGGATTACTAGAAAATGCGAAGTCGGCAACTCGTTGGAGAAACAGTCAAAAGCTGTCGCGCTTAGACTGTGTATTTACAAACGAAGTATCCCTAATTGAAAACCTCTCAATCCTGGCTCCCCTGAAAGGAGCGATCACACCGTCATAACATTTAGTTTTCTCAGAAAAGCTGAGCTAAGACATTCCTCCAACAACAAGCGCTGGAATTTTAAATGCCTGAATGTGTCAGCTTTACAGGACCATCTACAACAGGTGGATTGGAAAATTCACCACCAACTTGATGTGGGTGCTAATTGAGATATTCTGTACACGATTTATGTGCTACAAAGCAGTCTGTTCCCCAAATTGTTCGCAAAATCTACAAGCAACATACAGCCATCCAGAACCGCACTCTTCGTTTGCAAAGCCGCAAAGGGCACTGGTGGGCGGAATACAAACGAACTGGTAACAACAGAGCATACAGGCGATACCGGAAGCTGCAGCACCTAAGAACATACACTTCTCCTGGTCCAGATATGGTCCACTCTGCTACACTAAGGGAAGCAGCTTCAACCCTGGCAACACCGCTTAGCGTGATGTTCTCACACTCTCTAAGTCGAGACAAACTAACAGAAATTCGGAAGCTAGCTCACATCACACCAATTTTCAAAGGAGGTCGACGAAGCGAACCTTCAAGTTACCGACCGATGGCTCTGCTCTCTATTTATTATCCTTAACCTTCTTTTCCCCCCAACAGCATGGTTTTAGGAAGGGTCATTCTTGCATAACCAACCTGCCGACTGCAATGGACAGATGGACAACCATCCTTGATAGCAATGAGGAGGTTGACGTCATTTACCTTGACTTCTCAAAAGCTTTTGATACGGTCAACCATATATATTTTATCAATAAGATGAATCGATTAGGTATCAAACCACCCTCAATTGATTGGCTCACTTCATATCTAAAAATCGACATTATAAGGTCAGGGTTAACTTCAATTTCTCTCAGGCTACGGAATATCTCAGTGGATTCCCCCAGGGTTCAGTGCTATGACCTCTTCTTTTCTAGATTTATATAAACGATCTTCCACAACAGGTATCGTCAGACTTATTACTTTTTGCCGACGACGTGAAACTTTGGCGAGAGATACGCAATCAAGACGATATACAGGCACTTCAGGAGAATCTGACTCGGCTTCAAAGTTGGGCAGACGATAACGAACGTACCTTCAACACTTCAAAGTGTTAAGTAGTCCACCTGCTACATGTCGCAAATTACAGTTACAACTTAGGAAACTCCTCTCTAGTAGTATCCCGAGTCGAAATAGATTTAGGAGTCCTGGTGCCCTACGACTTAAAGTCTCACGCCAACTGTGACAGAAATGCCTCTCGAGCAAACCTTGCACTGGTAACATTGAAGCGCATTTTTGGTCAGTTTGACGGGAGAACTTTCCACATAATCTTCAATAGTTTCATTCGTCCCCATTTAGAGTACGGAAACATAGTATTTCCTCCCACACTCCAAAAGGATAAGGACACTCTGGAGTGTATCCAACGGCGAGCCATGAAATCAGTTCAAGGAATCAAATTAAGGCCTTGTGAACAGCGCCTCAAACCACCAAACCTTAACCCATTAGAGTATAGGCGTCTTAGAGGTGACCTAATCGCTAACAAAATCCTTAACACTTCTGGACATCCTCGTAAACACCTACTTAAGTTTAGCTTCAACATAAACCTAAGGAGTAACACCCATAAACCAGAGACACAACGCAGCGGAACGTACTGTAAACACAAATTCTACTCCTTAAGAATTATCAAATGCTGGAATTCGCTGCCGACTGAGCTAGTTACAGTGTTTCCCAGGAGTCCTTTAGGAGGCGACTTGATCTATTTTTAAGGACTATGGATAGTATCTTACTATGATTTACCAATTTCTGTTTTCCTCTTTTGTCGTTAATATACCTAGGTTCCTGTCTGGAGGTATCGGTGATCCATTGCTACTAGACACGGAAGCCTGTTGAGCGAAAGCTTCTTCTATTCCGTTCACATCCATTTGAACCATTTGAGCAACTGTAAAATTACAAATACATAGACATATGAACTATTACTTGTTTCTACGTCTTTATAGGCAGCTTTGTGATATTAATATGCCTTGAAATTCATCGTTCTTGTTTTATCAAGTCTTTTGTATTACGTGTTTGCTTTTCAACCAATCAGAGGCTCCAACAACGGGCAGCCATCTTGGTTTGTCTATATCTGTTCAGCCATTGCTATCAGGTCAGTTGTGTTTATGGCTGTCTGCTGTGCGCTCGTTGCTCTGCATTGTTACCCAGTTTCCTCGTGTCTTCTGTAGAAATTTCGAAATGATTGTGCGTCTAGACTGGATTTTTGTAGTTTGTATCACCTGTATTTCTGGTTTTCCTTATAATAGTCGTTTTTTGTCGTGGCTTTAGGGACTTCATAGCTACATATTGTAGGCGTATCTGTGTCTTACGTGTTTTTTTATGTAAATCTGGATGGATTTCTTAACTCTTCCTCCATCTTTTCGTTCCAGTTATGGTGGATGAACTTCACGTTCTTAAGAAGAGGATTAGAACACTCAGTGAATCCTCCAGGTATGATTTTAACGAACTTCTGTACTCTTTTCCTCGTCTTTTAAACTATGTTCTGTATTCCTGCTGTCCACACATTACTTTTTGTTTGCAGTCATTTGTTCACATTACTTTTCTGAATGTCAGCTTAGACGACTTTATTTAGGCTTAAGATAACAGGTTTTTACTTTGAATCTGTTGAAATCGGGGCAGTGACAGCAAACATCAACTAAAGGCGAAAAATACGTCATGGGAACTTTCGGTGAGAGCTGTGTTTTTGTCCCATCTTGAGTTACTAAATTGACTCAACATGGGCGCTATATGCTTGTACTAGCACAATATCCTTTCATTTATTCAAACGGCACGTCTCATACTGTTCAAAGCAAATTTCCTAGTACCACTTTAAAGCGTCAAGGTGATTGCGTAGTTTTTCGGAATCAACAAGTATTGTGTTGTTTGACATTTTGCTTCCCCATTGTGGGATGTTGCTTATTGATAGACCAGGATACCTAGTGAGAAGCTTTTGTCCATTTTTATCTTACGAGGCAATGACAAGGCACGCTATCGTACAAAAATCAACCGCTGACCAGATAGTCACCCACAAGTAATACAGTAAGACTAATGCGACTGATCTCCATAAACGTCTTAGGCTGGCAGGTGTGTAGCGACTGCCTGTTTTACCATCCTGAATGGTGACCCAAATGTCTTCCAAACATGTTTTAATGGTCCTGTCAGATTTCTGTCAGCATACGTTAAAGAGTGCAAAAGTTAGCTTTGTTTTTATTTATCCACTATTTCCCAGCTAATGCGGACCCTCTAATGTTGTGCAAAGTAGTAAACATGATTAGGTCCTACCCACTTACTCAAGAATTACCAGATGTAATTAGTCTCAACCAACTTACTAGATCTTGGAGTGGATAAAGTGGGTTGAAGTTTGTAACGTTTTGGTCATAGTTTGTCGTTTAGTGAGTTTTTGTATCTGTTGCTGCTATAACACGGTACTGGGACCAATGCATCCTATGTTTCCCACATTTCTCAATGTGTACGTAAAATTCGCTTAACTGGTTTGCGATTGTTTTCTAAGTACGGAATGAACTCACGTTGAAGACGTATTTTCATGGCTAACAAACATTGACTTGTATATGCCAATTCTTGTTGTTTGTTCTTCGGAATGTAGCTTTGTGTAATAGCATGGATAACTTCTTAAATATTTGGAGATATTCTGTGCATAGGGCAATTATCTAGTGTCATTCTATCATTCGAGGAAACGATTGGAATACCTTATATGGCAGTCGGGTATCTCCAGAATAACCTGTCAGCCGCGCTTCAAAGGCTTTCGGTAGAATGAATACCAGCATCCAAATGACTAGTATGAATTGTCTCTGGATTATATTTACCAGTACTGAGTCATAACGGATATTATTCGGAACCGACATGAAGCTCTACATAATGCAAGAAGTCTTAGTCGGAAAAAGTTCCGGCATTAAGTAAATAATCATCAAGAATATAGCTCAAGAAACGTTTAAAACACAAGGTAATTAGTACAGCCTTTTTCAAAACTAAGTACAGACATACATAGACTAGCTTTTTGTGAGGTCTGCTAATATTGCAGTTGCCTAAAGCACGTTGGTGTGACGTTTCTTGAACCTCGTGACTTAATCTTGGTTCTTGATCACTTCTGTAGCACTGGATGTCTTAATACTCGGCTATGTAAAAGTCTAGACAATGAATGTAGTTTTCCATAGTGTGGTCGGTACGGGAATTTTTTGGTAGTTCTCTAGTCACGTTGTTTGTAATCCTCGGTTAAACCAGTTAGGAATTCTCAAAAGTCTCTCTTGTTATTTTATCGATTAAACCGCGAACTGTAACAACAGCTGTTCGCCGCCAACCCTCACCATTCTTACGATCTCTTGCGACATGCTCAAGACTCCTGGTTCTCGCGATGTGTATCTTTGCGACTCGTGGCATCTGCCGAATGCTAAGAGCCTTAGTGAATGCCGCATCAATTATGTTAGCTACGTTAGGCAGTGGACGTTAGATATGTTTGGTAACAAATTTGCACAGTATCAAAAACGGGAATAATTTTTATGATGTTTGACATGTATTTAGGCTGTCACTAATTAATCATACAAATAAAAACTAAACTGTGTGGTACAGATCAAGCCGTCATCGTACATATGTCCGCGTAAACATCTAGGCTACATTTCCAAAAGCATCAAGTATGGTGTACTGTATGTGCATCAGTCCAACGCCTGACAACTGAGCTTTGAGTGGGCAAGTACTGCGGTGAAAGTGCTTAAAGGTGAGACTCTCGGCACCAAGTCTTTGCACCTCAACCGTTATGGGCATTCGTAGTTTCTGTGTAGACTTTTCTATCTTGGAGTTAGTTTATACTCAGTTTGCTAGTTGTATCAGGTGATTAAAGTCAATAAAATCTAATGGGTTAGTAGCGACCCACTTTGGTCATCGCATTTCAAGTTGTCGAACGACATTTGAGGTCACTGCTACAGGACTTCGAAAATGAGTTAACTCCATATTGTTACATATTAGTGACCAAGCTAAAGGAAACTCAGCACTACACTGGTAAAGATTAGTGGCTACTCATATGACCCACTTTTTTTATGCGGCGTTGTTACCTTGAGGTTCCTTGTCGTCGGTCATGAGATTATTCTTGTTAAGCTCCATCCTACTTATACTAACTACTCTAGAATAGGTATGGTAACAGTGTTTTTTGTAAGGATATATTTCTTCTTAGGGATATCTTGTCTACACACAGTTTCCACCGTAGCTAGCACACCAGATTCACAGGCTTCACTCTGGGATCTTCAAAAAGTACTTCTAGTCGACAATACTTCATTAAAATGGAAATTATCATATTTCGGCGTTTAAAGTCCAGGATGAATATATGGGTCGGTTGGTCAATAAATCTTATTCTTCTACAACTTCACCTTTTCGAAAATGTATCCTATTTGACTTCAATGTACAAACCTCAAATCTTCAAAATTACAAAACTAATATATTTGAAAATGCTACATTAATAATGTTTGTAACATTATAATCTTCAATATAATTACTATTGTAAATTTTCTACGCATTTTGCACTCGAGTTCAAACAGGGATGTTAATTTTCCTTACTGTGTTCGTCTTGTCTGACTATAAGAAAAAGTAGTAACAGTTCAGTTAAGTAGTTGTGATAATTGGTTCTCGCATAATTTTGACCAATAATAAGGCTCGCGAATTCATGTTAGTAACAAATGAGTGGCATCAGTTGTAGCGTACACAGATCGTCTCACAAAAACAACATCCAAACTTGTTTCCGTATCTTTATCCAGTGCGATAAACAACTATCATTGGGAAGCTCTTGTACTATTACTACGAATATATCTGTGGTCTTACTGCTTTCATTTCAGCAGGTTTTCATGTTAAGTATAACATGGTGCTGTTAACTGTTCTGCCCCACTACTAGTAGTGACACAAGTTTGTGTGCCATACGAGTTTGCTGTTCTCTTTTAACCATTAAGGTTGGTGCGTTGTCATATAAGCTTTCAAATGTTACATACATACCGGCTAGCGTATTGCTGTATAATTAGCAAGTTAGATGTAGACTCATTTTCCTCAGTTCTGCTTTTCGTCGGTGCCTAACCGCTTGGCGTGTTTCTACGTTTAAACCACATGCTGGGCGGAACCAGTCTGCACATGGCTCGGAAATAGATAAGTGTTTCTAAAATGTTTAAGTGAGATTCTACTTCGGCAAATTCAAGGAGCTAGTGTTGTATGCTTGTTCAGAGGCGGTTACACTTTACACACACAGACCCCCAAGTCGAGATCTCTTCTGGCTATCATGTTTAGGTATATACAAATTTGTGTATGAATGGCGGAGTAGTATGTCTTCACAGTTCGTATTTGCTGTCTAATGTCGGCGTTACCGATAAGTCGCTTAATGACCAATCAATTGCCTGTAAAGACACGTACAACTTCTGTTTTCATGCTAGTCGTTTTAAGATGTAAAGATCTTGAATGATTTTTGTATATAGTTTTCAGAATTCTCAGCGAATAAACCACTCCTGTTGAACATAATAAGTGGAGCTATTCTGTCCTAATTTAGTTAAGCGATCCATTCGTCTACGCATTTGATCGTTCCCAGGTTTATTATGCGGTTGCCTAGACAATTTATGGTTTTGGATGTTCACACATTGGTCAGTGGATTTTAGGTCTGAAATCTGGTTATTGCTGCTTCTACATATCGCTTAATAAATACGGTCCACGGGTGGTATATTAGTCTTAGTTACTTCAGGAATGATTATCATCAATCTGACGTAAGAGTACTCGGTACAGATTTTAATTTGCCCAGCAATTGATGTCAGTTCTTCAGTAAATGTAGCCGAACTTGATGTCTAACTGATGGCTTTACATCTGTAACATTATCGCTCCCAGGTTAACTGTTCAGGTTCATCAAGTCTACTAGTTCTTCCAACTTCAGTTTCTCTGACTAGGCTTTCATATTGTAGTGTTCGTGTTGTGTTGCCGTCCGGGTAGTTACTAAAACGGCATCTGGTGCTCGATCGAGTTCCATAAGTTTCTATTTGAACTGGGAACCCGACAACGCGAGATTTGACTTAATGCAGCTATTTTATTGTGTGTTAGTATAGGGTAGCTCATACAAACACAGGTTTATATACTAAACCGCATTTGGTACATAGGTGCCGGTGATGCTATCCGATTACCCAAACCGAAACAGATGTGACGGGATCCCAACAAGCGGATTCGTGTTGTATACATTATCTGATTCAAGTCTAATTAGATTTCCACGCGGAAGATGCCTGTGACTGACGATTGCTATCATTTCCATGAAACAATAGGCGCGAGACTCAAGATTCCTATCTGGTCATGGGATGCAGTTTAAGAGCAGACGACTTATCACGTTTGGTTAGGTCAAACGGGAAGATATTCAGACGATTTTTCGTGTGTTAGGTCATTGTTCAGGTAATTCCCAAAAATTGGTCACTTCGCTCCAGTGATATTCGGAACATTTGATTTAGGCATTCTAATCTAAGGATTCTTTATGTGCTTAGAAGTGAAATCTTTTTATTAACAGCATGTACTGGTGGTTATGTCCACATGTACGAGGAAGCATACAGTACACCGCGTACCCTGGGAAATTACGTATCATCAGATGTCGTTCTTGGGTGTTATTTCAGAATTGATGTCGCCTGCTTGGACTTAGATCAAATAAGAGTTCTGATATTCTGATTCCCATTCTTGAAGAATTGGTCGGGTCACAGCCCAAGTAATGATTCGCTGGCACCATACGCTTAAATCATAGACCACTTATATTCCCACATCTATGTATTTGGCAGCTGATGAACGAAACGTGTCTGTGTTACCAGCCTCGTCTTTTATAAGGTAATTAGTAGATCGGTTCAGAATTCTGTTATTTGAATGCAGTTTTGGTGGATATAAATATCTTCCTAGTCAACGGAGTAGTGACGTCAAGATCTCATTGGCATTATACTGATTTGAGTTTGACCTTCGCCTCTTAGTCTCCATTTTATATCAAACAATTATTTCCTTTACCTTCCTTTGCTTTCTATGTATGATTATCATAAATGTGAGTTGATCTCAGTTGTGTACCTCGTATTGCTGTATTTATGATCATAACTAGTGTGACTAGTTCATAGGAAACCAGTTTGGTTTTCCAAAAAATCTCGTTTCAGACCACATGGTCGTCTTTCATTTCAAACTACCTAATATTAGCTTTTCACATGGATCACAAAAAATGCTTAGACAGAACTGGGTCTACACCTATAATAAGGTTTGTTAAGTACATCTTAAAAGTTCCCGACAGTATGAGGTCCCGCTATGATGTTAAGTGTATGCTGGTGTATCATTAAACGGACCTGCATCCAAATCGTTGATTACTAACGAACCAACCAGATTGTGGGTCTTTCATTGTCCTATTATCGTGTAAGTGCTTGTAATTCGTGAGTGCTTATTCCCAACTTAATTTTTATGTATATAGTCGTGCAAAATGTACGCCAATTGCCTACCCGCGAATTCAGATTTCAATTTCAGTCCCAGAAACACTTTAGTAATATTTACACGAAGAGTGTATTTATTGACCTTGAGCGACTAGATAAGGTGTGCCACAACATACAGTTCTTGTTCAGTGGCTGCGTCAAACTTTTATTCCCGTTCAGTATGAACAGGCTTTCAATGGTGAATAGTCTTAACGAAACAGGTAGATACGAACCGTCGAGTAACTTAAAGTAAAAACAGACTACAATTTGATGTTCATTAGACTAATTTACTTCTCGAAAGCTTTATTTAGTTTACATTTTGTAGTACAAGTACATGATTACAGCTTCTGCTAAACGAATGTTTCGAGATGAAGCAGTGTGAACAATATCCTTGTTGGTGGCAAAAGAACTCTTCCTACCACTTCTTTCCTGATATACTTTGTTTCCTATAGTTACGTTAATTAGCTTACAGTACAAACCCATAAATTACCGTCTTCGTATTTGAGTACGTCGTTCGACTTTTAGGGTCAGTCTTATGGATGAATATCTACACTATTTACTGTCCACTTATCGTTTGTGGACTTATGGAACTGTGATTTCTCAAATAGTAGGTTTTTTGTTCGCAGCTTATAACTACCACTTATACCGGAAGTGAAATCCGCACAAGGATTTAGTGTCTCTAAACATGAAGCCGTTATGAGAAGTTAGTTCACGGGAAATACAAGCTGACTTTCTGGCATACAAGGACACCTCAGTGTCCTCCTGAAATCCACACAACCATATCTCTGATGTTAGCTGTTATTTCTTACTCAACCTCATAATATCAGAACATAGTCTACACCAGTCTCTTAGACTAAGTGATCACTTCGTGATTTGATCGATAGAATTCGATCAGCATTAAGACGGCCAGACAAAGGTGAGATTGGTCTTTACTCTGTGACCAATCAATGTTAGCAAGAATATTACTTTTGTAGTCTGTGCGATTCATACATAATTTTTAGTTAAAGAACGAGATATAATCGTAGCTAAAATTAAATAAAGGATTTTAAGTTTCACTGTCAAACTTCTTTAAAGTAATTGATTTTTGGTCAGAACCAACCTCAAGAATATCAAGTAATTTTTTGAATATTCTTGCAATACCTGGGATTGTTTTATTTTGCAAAATAGTATGAGTAATTTATGATTGAATCTACATGATATTATTATTTGCATAAAGGTCCATCCTACGGGATACATTACTTGGAATTATCTACAATATATTAATTTTCACCAAACTATATATTATATTCAAATCCTTAAACAGTTAATGAGTCGGTTGGGTATCAAAAATTTGTCTTCCTGTGTTGTTTTAGCTATCTGTATATGTATAAATTCAATGCTGATAGATGACACTTATCTAAGAATGGAGATGAATTGTTTTGCTAAATAATATACACTACACCATATTACTTACTTTTAAGCTGCTTATATTATTACGGTATTAATTTTTTATCAGTTTATAATGAGTCATTACTTGATTTCTATGTTTGTCCAAGATAATGTCTTCTAATGTAATCGACATTCTAACATTATCTGCTTAATTAGCAATACCAAAATTACCATAATATTTTTCGCTTGTTTGTTTTTGTAGAAGCGATGGATCCATATCTCATACAGACCAATCTGAATCTTCAGCTCAGGAAGACACTGTTTTATCAAATTCACCACCACAACCAGTCAGATCTAGAAAACAAAATATAAGAGAGGTAAGCTTTTCTGTTAGCCATAGTCGTTCTGCTTATGATTATAGATAATACTCACCAAAAAATCACTTTAATATCATAATCGTTATTATTTTTTCTAGTTGGAAATCGATATTAAAAAGTGATTTGCTTTTGCCTTTTTTGTTTACGTTTAGCTTCGTGAAGAATTTGAAGATTATCCTGAATTGTATGGTATACGTAGATCTGCACGAAGTCGCAAAGAACCATTACGTTTCAAAGCATCAGAGAAAGATACCCCGGAGGCACTTTTTCGAGAAAAGAGAAGAAATCGTTTTCCTAGCAGTTCAGATAGTAATAATGTAACAGATAGTGAAACAGACGATTGGAATGATAATATATCGGTAAGTTTTTAATAATAGTATGGACGGATTTCTGACAAGTTATGTTATCTTGACTGTCGTACTAATTTTGGTCTTTAATACCACAGATGTTTAGGAATGGAAATGAAGTAGATTTGAGTGTAAGCTAATGTAATCAACCATGAGTCACCGCATCTCTGACACAGCTGTCAAACTAAACGGTTTCTTGAACTTGAATTTCTTTCTTTAGTACACGTTAACAGCAAATAGTTGGATTCTGGATTGATTATTGTGTTGATTAGTATAACTCACTGTTAAACATTCCGTGTTGTAACTCAGTTTATGTTTGGGGATATATAGAACTTAGTCCAAAATCTATAATTAGTTCGTAGTAATAAATGAAATAGCATCATACTCTTGGTATTCGTAAACATATCGTTGACATATTACTTATTTTGACGTGATATCTATCGATGTATTCATTGACTATTGTTGAATTAAGCAGTGTTGGTATGTGCAAACTACCTGATTAGGATGTGATAATTAGCAGTATTTGAATTACTATACAAACTAGGAATCCCAGAAATAACGCAATTTAACCAAGAAGTACTAGATGAGCACAAATGAAAGCATTGTATTAGGAATTCGAAATCAGACAGTCATCAAGTACAAAGGAATCATTAGTTCATACAAACACCACAGCCGCCACAGCTTAGATGTGAATCCGAATTTCTGCGATCAATCGTACTTCTCCTTACGTTCATCATATGTCTGTCCGATTGTGTATTGGATGTAAATTCTGTATGATCTAAAATGTACTCATTAGTACTAGAATTATCAACTGAAATTGGAGCGGACTCACCTGGGCCCTGGAATCGTATACAATCACCATGTCGGCTGTGTAGTGAAATCACTGATATCTAGAATTTGAATAATAGATTTTTCAACACTCTTCCCCCACGGAATAATTTTGGGTCCTTACGTCTCAATGTCATGACCGGTTCGACGTTCCCAATTTGCACTATCTTTTTATGTCTCACACTTCCATTATTATATGTGAGTATTTTGAGATACACACGGACTTATAATTTGAGGTATTCCATCATGTGACTTTCACTTGCATAAATAATATGATACGTATTCCTTTTGCTTTTTATGCTAGAATACACAAGTCGATTGTTTTAGTTATCTGATAAATATGCCTTGATATCTGTAATTAACACATGTGATTCATCTAGGCTTGATTCACCTACAAAACAATCAAATGGAAAATATGCATTTGCCTCATACTCATTAGGATAATCTTGGACTCGATTTTAATATTTTGCTTGGGTAAACTGGTTCTCCGAATGCTTCGGGAAAACTTGCTATTCACTCTAATTCATCATATCACTGACTAGGGATTCTACTCGACATACATTGGTTGTGAGAATATGCAACATCAGATACAATAACATTAGAAATGTGACTGGAATTCGATTCATTTGGAACATATTTGTCACATTCATTAGAAATATTACTAGTAATAAATCCATTGTAAAGACAAATAACATTTGATTTTTCTGAAATATTTTCCTCAGATTTACTAAAAAGATCATTAAAAAAATTGCAAATAACATCTGATGCGATACCACAAGGACTGTAATCAGATTTTAACTCATTTAAAACTTGTTCCTCACATTTAATTAAGATTTCACTAGAAGTAAATGATCGTTGCGACAAACCACAACTGATAAAATAACATCAGAGTTCTGATCAGGATTTGGTTACTCGATGTATCTTCCACACATTTGTAAGTAATTTCATTAGAAATACGCGAATCATGAGAACAACGTATATCTTGTAAAATAATATCATGAATCTGATCAGAGTATGATTCGTTTGAAACATTCAACTTGATAGAATAGGAATTAAAAAGCTTAGCATCACTTACAGTGAAATGAACAGCAGTATTACAAACTGCATGTATGTGTCCAATCTCACCACATTCAAAGCATTTAGCATTACGAAGTACGCATGAATTACGTGATTGAAATTCACCACAGGACAAACATTTACCAAACTTGTGCTCATCTTCGTGGCCTGCATCGCAACTCCTCAATGAATTATTATCTGCATAACCTTAAGTATTCATTGAATTGGGATGACCTAGTAATGTAGTAGTATTCTGGATTTCCTGACGAATCGTTTCATGGGATTTTCCTTTACAGCATTCGAAATTTGTGTACTTAAGATGGTCTAGTAATAGTTCCTTGAGAGTTGTATAAGGAAGCGAAATAGGCTTTTCTGGAAATGCCAAAGTTTTTAATAAGCTGTATGCTTTTTTTCCAATAAATGTAAGGAAATGAGCCACAATATTAATATCCTCAACATCTTGGTCATAGTCCAGATTTTGAACCTTTCTATGTAATCCTCAAAAGCATGAAAATCTGAATGTATGTCCAATTGTTCCACCACAGGTTACGTAACCACGCCAATTACTACACAAACTAGAAGTCCCAGAAATAACGCAATTTAACCAAGAAGTTCTAGATGGGCACAAACGAACGTATTGTGTTGGAAATTCGAAATTAGGCAGTGATCAAGTACAAAGGAATCACTTATTCATGCAAACACCACATAGGGTCAGCACAATAACTACTTATACTACTCTAGGATTTGTTTTGATAATTTCATCTCCTTGTGTTAATTGTGGTGTGGCAGTTTGAACTAATGCTCACATTTGTCTCAGATTTTTCATTCCTCACGTCTGATTTATTCATTTTTCTTCCACATAAAATTTACGTCAGTAATCAAATATCGTTATATTACTCACCTCCAATTATTACTTGTTATAATTGTGTATTTAAAGCAAAAATACTGTTAAGATATGTAATTACCTTCTGATAATGATTGGTTAGTTTATCAATACTACAATTGGTGTTAACTTGGTGGGGATCAGAGAAAGGCGAATAAACACTTCAGAAAAAAATTTATACTTAGTAATATTGTAGTTGTAGGGGATAATTACCTGTAAGCCACTCTCTAACCAAATGACACTACAACAATATAAATCATAATTAGTCGTTTAAACCAATGGTCACTTTGTTATTTGTTTAATAGAATTCGATTCTAATTGAAGACGTGATACAAATTATATTGGTTATTACTCACTAACCGATCGGTGTAAAAATACATTAAATTTATGGAATATATAATTGAAGTACGGTGAGGAATAATATCACTTTCGAAATATACATCAGTTTTATTTTTCATTCAGTCGTCGACTGTCTAAAAATTCTGCTATAGTTCTTTATTCTAATAATTCAAGTTTCAACTAACGGGTTATGAAATAAAATCCTAGTCTACCTATCAGGGTATAGTACAAGTAGGTGTGATTCACAGTGATTTAGAAACTCATCTTCCAATAGTATATATTCTGTGGACTGTCTCATTTCTCCAATTGTATACTATTTGTTTACTAGCTGAACAAGATGAAATCCTTAAAGTAATGCTAATAATCAGTGAAATGCTCTTGCACGCACGAATTGTTCGCCCAGTTATGTCATTTGCATTTATTCTTGAAATTCAAAACGTTATTGTTATCTTCATACTTTCTCACTAGGCTTATTTTACGTAATTTTGGTGTCTCTAAATTAATTATGTTGATTATCTTTAAAATCCGGTCGTTATTTTTGGTTGAAATGTAAAAACCTATAAAATACATAATCTAGTCCTCATTGCCATCTGAATTCGATTCACTTAAGTTCGAAACATAGTTATCAGATATCGTAAATCACATTGACACTTTGTCATCTATGCTTCGTCACATTCATCATTATGATGTAATGATCACCTTCAATAAAGTGATTCGTAAAGTTAATCTATGTACCATATCAAGCATTTCATGTTAAAGTTATACTTCTCCCCACTGGCTCTATAGTTTTGTAGTTTCTGAGAAACCTTCAATTTCTAGGTTCGACTCTATTTGCACTACTCCGTAATTCTACTGGACAGTGATTAAAAAGCAGAATTATTCGGTTTTACTTCACTAGGTCTCAAGTTTTAACTCCATTCTACCTTTGTTTGCGATTTTTGACATTATCACTAGTCCCTGAACAAAATAAAATGTAACTGGAAGTTGATTACTTAAACCTATAACTATCTATTAAGTTGACGATTTCCTTACCTTTTATATCTTATTGTCTGTCAATCTTCATAATCTACATGATTCACAAAATATATCTGCTATTTGTTTTTCTCTAAGATAAGACATCGTACTGTAAGAACACGAGGAAATCGTGTCAATTACAAAAGTGCTTTTGTAGATGACAGTTTTGATGAATCTAACGATGAACCATCGGAACGATCGAGTTCGAGTATATTTAAACCAACTAATCAACGAACTTCATATGGCACTGTACCAATACTAAAGTAAACGAATTATATTACTATTATTATCATTATAATTATTATTATTATTATTATTATTATCACAGATATTGACATTTTATGTTTACTGACATGCATGCAATGGATTAACTGTGTATTTTAGTCTCAAACACATACACATATGTATTTTTATAATCTCTCGTCTTTTTAATTATTAACTTACTATCGTTGTCGATGATGATGTCACTTGCCTTTTTTTCTCTGGCTGACATTTCAGTCAACAAACGTGTTTCCAAAAGCCAAGAGGTCCTTTGGTCCGAAAACCTTATGCACCAGTCTTGGCAAGCAGGTTAGCGATATGTTACTTTTACTGTTGTTTATATTATTCATCTCCAAAAAATTAAGTGACTCTAACCTATTTGGCTTTTTTATTCAATTTGTTTTGATACTGTCATTGCTTTTTTATTCTATGTAATCCACAATATTTTAATCTTAGAAGATGCCGATCTTGACTTTGGTTTCTTTGAAAAAGCGTTTTCCGTCTTTTTAGAAAGCTTTTTGCATCGCTTTACAGTGTTCTCATATGTGTAGTTTTGTGTTGTTCCCTATCTCTATCGAGAATTAACATTTCATGTCTGTATACTAGGAGGGAAGCGGGTCTATGGAAATTGCTGGTGGTATGAATGATAGTCGCACAACATCGCGAATGAACTGAAGTTATGTATGTGGACCATTAGATAACAACTTAACAATCTGAAGGTTAAGTGGTCTCCGTGATGCCTGAAGATTCTGTTTTTAGTCGTTCATAAGGTTGTAGAGATGCTCCTGATGAAAAGTCGTATGCTTGGGCAAAACAGCTGTCCTGGTACTTTCAAGTTTCTGATGGTTATTTAGCTACAGTCATTCTGTAAGTGGTTTAGATAAATGGTGTTTTGTTTTTATTTCTATTGAACTAGTAACTTTCTTCATCTTAAAGTTGTTTTGTTTACCTCCTCTTTACCGTTTTAGAAACTCCAAGTCATTCATAAAATCAGAAGATGACAATAATCTAGACCAAATTGGTGTAAATGAACAATATTCAGAGGAAGATGAAGATGGTGTAAGTGGTGAAGTTAACCGGGAAATTGAATGGGGAGTTGATGATGAAGAAGCGGATGTTATTGAAGAGATATTAACTCATGCCATTCGACGTAAAGGTGCCACTGGTAATCCTACTACGCTGTATAATACACAGTTGGAAAAAGATCTAAATGCTGGTTTTAATCCTAAACAAGAGGATGGTGAATTACAATTTCTCATTAAATGGCGTAATTGGAGTCATATTCATTCAACATGGGAAACTGAATCTTCATTACGTAATCCAGATCGAGGTGCACCGGTTGCTGGTATGAAAAAATTCTATACATATCAAGCAATTATGCGAGAAAAAAGTGAACGCTTACAATATGTTGAAAGGGAAGAACTAGAAACTGTGGCTTATGAAGAAGAACGTGATGAACAATTGTTACAAGATAAAATGAATGTTGAACGTATAGTAGCCCATAGCCGTGATCCAGAAACAAACACTTTTGATTATCTCATTAAATGGTTTCGTTTGGATTATCGATTTTGCACCTGGGAATCTGGAAAGGTTATACATTTACTCTATGAATCAGCAGTTCAAGCTTATGAAACTCGATGTAATTCTACTACACTGCCTAATCGAAAATGTGAAGTGCTTTATACACGACCAAAATTTCTACCACTAATGGAACAACCTTCATACCTTGGGCGCTCAAAGGAACTTCGTTTACGTGATTATCAACTTGAAGGTATTAATTGGTTAATTCGTGCTTGGACTCGTCGGAACAGTGTGATTTTGGCAGATGAAATGGGATTAGGGAAAACTATTCAAACTATTGGATTTCTTTCATATTTGTTTAATGAGCATCAGGTATATGGACCTTTTCTTATTGTTGTTCCTTTGAGCACTATATCAAGCTGGCAAAAAGAACTGCAAACTTGGGCACCAGAAATGAACACTATAATATATACTGGTGATCATGTATCACGACAATTGATTAGAGAGCATGAATGGTCAACTGGAGCTTCTAATAACAGACGTCATCAATCATTAAAATTCAATGTTTGTGTAACTACTTACGAAATTTTATTAAAGGATAAAGGTTGGCTTAGTCAAGTAAATTGGGCCTTTTTAGGAGTTGATGAAGCTCATCGTTTGAAAAATGATTCAAGTCAATTGTATAAAACTTTAAAAACATTTGAAACAAATACTCGTCTATTGGTTACCGGAACACCTTTACAAAATACTATGAAAGAATTATGGGCATTATTACATTTTATTATGCCGGATTGTTTTCCAGATTGGGAAGAATTTGAACAGACTTACAGTGTTTCTCCTGATGATCCAGCTAATAAAATGAATAACGAAGCATTTCATAATCTTCATAAAACATTAAAGCCTTTTCTACTTAGACGAGTGAAAAAAGATGTAGAAAGTTCGTTACCGGAAAAAATTGAACAAATTCTGCGAGTTGATATGACTAAAGAACAAGCAAATATATATAGATTAATTTTAGCCCGTAATTATGATGGATTATTAAAAGTAACACGTGGTCATAAAGCTTCCTTTATTAATATTGTTATGGAATTAAAAAAATGTTGTAATCATGCTCATTTAATTGCACCTCCATCTGAAGTTGATCAACAATATTTAACTAAAGAAGATCGATTAAGATTATTTTTAAAAGGTAGTGGTAAAGGTACCTTATTAGATAAATTATTACAACGTCTTAAATCAAAGGGACATCGAGTTCTTATCTTTAGTCAAATGGTTCGTATGTTAGATCTTATAGCTGATTATTTAAGTTTACGTGGTTGGGGTTTCCAACGTCTTGATGGATCAATAAGAGGTGAAGTACGTAAACAGGCATTAGATCATTTTAATTGTGAAGGTTCAACTGATTTCTGTTTTTTATTATCTACACGTGCCGGTGGTCTTGGTATTAATTTAGCAACAGCTGATACTGTCATCATATTTGATTCTGACTGGAATCCACAAAATGATTTACAAGCTCAAGCACGTGCACATCGTATAGGTCAAACTAAACAAGTATCAGTGTATCGTTTTGTTACTCGTGAATCTGTGGAAGAGAAGATAATTGAAAGTGCTACACGAAAAATGGTTTTAGACCATTTAGTTATTCAAAGAATGGATTCAGCTGGTATTCGTAGTGGTCGACGTGGTGATACAGCTAAAGGTCATTTACTTACTGAAATTCTTCGTTACGGTGCAGAAGGATTATTTAAACAAGCAGACGAAGATGCTACAGAATTGGAAGTTGATATTGATGATATTCTCAATCGAGCAGAAACACGAGATACAGAAGCTACAGTAGAGTCTAATCCAGCTAACGCTTTACTTTCTTCATTCAAAGTTGTTAACCTCGATGCATTGGAAGAAGATACTGATATTAAAAATGGGAATGACTCATTAAATTCTTCAATAAATACAGGATGTGAAAAAACATGGGATCAAATTATTCCCAGTGAGTTTCGGGGACAAGTGAAAGCAGAACAAGACAGAAAAACTCTAGTTGAACTTGAGTTGGGCCCACGACGTAGGCGTCCTGTCAAAACGTTCCAAGCAGGACTAAATTCTAACCAGTCCTCTTCTGAAACATCGGAGACTGAAGAAAATGACAAAGTTCTCCCAACCCAACTTACAGAAAAAGAAATTCGCGCTTTGGTTCGTGCGATCAGACATTTTGCGCGCCCTCTAGAACGTATTGATGCAATAGCAGCTGATGCTGAGCTTCCCGATCATTCCGAGTCTGAACTTCGTGAGGTAGTAGATGCTGTTCTAAAAGGTTGTCGAACAGCCATGGAAGCGGCCTCCATAAATTCAAATGAAGAGTCCCAGAAACAAGCGACTGGTGGTAAAGGACCTGTTTTTCAATACGGTCGCGTTAGTGTAGCTGCAAGACCTTTATTACAAAGTCTAGAATATCTAGAAACCCTTCACTTGTGTCTACCTTCTACCAGTAAAGAAGCACGTATGTCGTATGAATTACCGTTTTCTCCTAAACTAGTCGCTTGGTCATGCAATTGGGACAATACTGATGATGTTCGACTTTTAGCAGGAGTTTACGAGCACGGATATGACAATTGGGAAACAATCAAACTAGATGCTGACTTAGGCCTCGGCTCTAAATTACTCCCAGTTTCACAAACAGAACGTCCACAAGCCAATCATTTACGATCACGTGTGGATTATCTTTTAAAAATGTTAGCTAAATGCCATTCATCAGTCAGTAAAAATACTGAACAACAGATGGTTACCAAAAAAAGAAGAAAGGAGGACAGAGAGTCAAACAAATCAAATCAAAAAGCTAAAACAATCACTTCAAAAGCCAGTGTAAAACATACTAATAAGCAAATATCTACCCCAATAAATCCAGTGCCTAAATCAGCAGAATTTGTAGAAACCGACGACTCATCATCAGAATCAGACTATAATAAAGATAATGATGACAAGCAAGAGGAAAATGATATTGATAATGATAACATATCAAATCAACTGTTAAAAAACACGAAACAATCTAGAAGAAGTACAAATAAATCAAAAATTAAATCTGAGAAAAAAGATAAATATATTTCAGAATTAAAACCACCTACACTTCAACCTTTATCATCTAATCATCAAGAGAATTTATCTAATGTACCTACAATGTTTACAAAAAAGGAAGAAGATGAATTTCGTAATATGCAAGGTCCAATTTTTGTAAAAGTAAATTTACTCTATATATTTTTATAACTTCATATTTCATTTTACATTATTCCTAGTTTTTTTTTTTTTGTTTGTTTGTATATTACAGTAGAAACAAGTATTTAAAATTAATAGCTTTTAGACGATATCTTATGGGAGAAAGTGACTGTTGAGGATTTTGATAAAACCAATACTTTGTATAGTTGATCAATTAATACTTTCTCTGTTAACTTAATTTTAAAGATAAATGTTATTTATATCAAATTCACTACTGGGTTGATATGATTTATGGTTATGCAGAAATAACACCAGTGTTGGTAACATATTCCAATTAATGTAAATCAACTTCTACATAGTTAATATTCTCTCTTTATTCTGTATACACAATAATGAAAGATGTTCAATATAACTTGACTTTAAAACACATTTTGTAACAAAATTATTGATAATACTTTACTTTTTTTGACCATATCTACGACTTTAACATTTAGGTCAGTTGGAAAGCTATTAAACTAAAAAACACAACTTAAAATACAAGGGTGAGGTCTTACTATCAGCTCTACTGAGATCTGACAAAATTCAAGTATTTTCTTCAAATAACTAATATATACACCGCTTCTGCCTTGTCACAACCAAAGTGGAAGGTTGGAAAACGTCGGACCTACCAATAGCACATCTCACCTTTCCTCTAGGATTTCCGTCACCAGTGATATGGTCTAAGAAGTATGAATCTAACACATGCCTCTACAATCGGTAAATGAAAACCACCCTTATAAATCTAAAAACATTCTCCATCATTGAAATACGAAATAAATGGGTCAGGGAGTGGTTAAAATATGTAATAGAACAGTCAAAAATTATGTGCTTCAATTATTAAATCACCAGTGTACATGTAGAATGACATTTACATCGTTTGGCTACCACTTTTGAACTATCATATTACTACTCATTTTTTTAAAATGAATCGTCTTCTTTAGACTCTGTAAATGAACAAGAAGTAAAAACTACATATTTATACGGGCTAAAAATACTAACTGACAGTATTTTATCAACCCAGCTTGAGTTAAAAAACTCATCATACCAGTACTTTCAGCAAGTCAAATTTGTCAGTAGGCATCAAATGAAACAACATATATAAATGTGTATGCGTGTTTTCGTGTGAAGACTAATATTAAGTCTTAATTAAACAATACCAAATAATTGCTGAGTGTGTTGTGAAATGTTAGTTGTCAATAATACTCAGCAGCAATTTCTCTTATTTTAGTCCAAGTTCCAGAGATCAATGTTAAATATGATATTTTCCGTCCCTTTGCCAAAATTTTCCAGCATTGATTATCACCACAATAGTTATTATAATTGAACATAAACTTGATTGAATGAATATCTGACCAATTATTTATTTGTATTGATAATCTAGAGGTGAAATTTGAATCTATTTTTATTCATTGAATTTCATTATTCTATTGACCATTGAATTTTACTCATCAGTTATGATGTGAATCGAGTTCAACTGCTTTTTCATAAATTGCGATAGTCATGATCCCTTTTTTATAACACAAACACAATTCATTTATATGCCCTGGTACGGCTGAGAGTGGGGAGAGTCCTCTCTTCCATTCGAAATGCTCTCACATGGCCACGCGTATAAAGCCTCTTTCAGGGAAGTCCTACCCACTACCTTCTCGTGGCATTACTGTTGTTTACGAAAATGAGAGGACGAAAAGCGAATTTCCGGCGCTTTAACCAGATCCCAAACCAATGGTGCACATGGGCTCCAGTATCCTGCGGGAACAAATGGCGTATGAACCAATCGTTGGTCACCGGCTACCATGGGTCTGCATCTCCTTACGATGCTCCACTGCCTTGTGAATCAGTTCTTCAGGCCGAAGGCTCGGGGCGTGGGGCTCCCTAAGGAAACCACCTTGTTCGGTTTGGACACCTGTGCAGTATCACAGCCCTCACACATATCAAATGAGATCTGTGTGGCGCATGTGTATTTGGTGCCTCCTTGTACCAATATCTATGTGTTAAAATAAATAAATAAATAAAATTATTACCAAAATATTCACGAAAATTTACTGACCTGTTTATGTAAGAAAGTCTGTATTTACTTTTTAGTGTAAAAAGAAATTTGTACCGATTAAGAAGCATTTCAAGGAGTTGGAAGATCTTGAACGAACTGATGAACAAAATCCAGTAAAACTGGCTAATGTCGTTTTACAAATTGGTGATCATATTCATTCCATTGTAGATGTATATCCCGATAAAGAGAAACGTCATGCATGGAAAAAGTATGTTTGTGTATGTTCATTGCATTATATACGAATCTGGATTTATTTTATGTTGTTTCGTTCTTGTTTTCTTTGGTTGTCAAATCGTTATGTTTTTCTGCGGAGTAGTTCTTTTCTTAACAGTTGTGTTTTATATTCATTTCGAATCCCAACTAAATAGATCACTGGCTCGAAACCTGTCTTATCTATTTTAGTTTACTCAATCGGGTAATAATGATAGTAGTGGTGGTATTCACTTACATGTATTAACAACCGTGAATTGGTTCCTGAGTGATATTTACTGATATCTTAGTAGATATTCCTTTATTAATAATTTAGTTCAAAAGTTCTAATTTTAACACTTTGTAAAAACTCCTCTTCAATTGTCGTAAGAAAGAACTTATTACAGCAATAACCCTTTTGTTTTATACTTCTGCTATCATGTGTGGTAGTTCTTATCGCCTGATGGTATTGATAATTCCTATGCTTTAATTGTGCGTATACTAACTTTCTCCTGGTAATTTTTGAGATGGTTTTTACTAAAATATCGGTCAGTTAGTCAGTTATATACAAAGTGCATGGTCCTACGTTGTAGGTGACTGACTATATACAAAATAGAACGTGAGACAGATATACGCATCTGTTCAAGTTGTCACGTCACATTAACACGAGAAGATAAAATTATCAAGATGAATTTCAGAACAACGCGATTAATAACGGTATCAGTGGGACAATTCAAGAAGAACGACTGAATTCATGCAATCAAAATGGCGTAAGATACTATTGGAACTCAGTATATGGAGACAAAGTGTCAATCCATCTGGACTATTATGATTTTAAACCCAACGTCTCCATCTATCAGTCATGACAATCATACCAATGCTAAATAGATGGTAGTCTTAACTTAAATACACAGCTGAATACAACTAGTCATCGACCTCATATACTGATATCATATTTCGATTTGTGTACCCCTAACTTTTTAAAACATGTTACAAACATAAAGCAAGTTATCAATCAATATTCTTATTTGAAAATTTCTTGTTATCTAATAAGTTATATCGTTTTGATTACCATATTGTGAATGAATGGATATGCATATATGAATCCCACTTATCTGCATCAGTCAGTCAGTCGCAACATAGAACCTGGTACGTATGTACATTTGTTCAAGTTTCCGTACCCTATTAGGACAGAGAGATGAAATTGTCAGGCCGAATCCCAGAATATTAGAGGAAGTAAAAGTACCATTGGTAATACAAAAGATTAGAAATTGGAGATACTGTCCGAGAAGACAATACAAATTAGTGGCATAAAAACACAAGTTATGAAAAATTCAGGAGCTTAAAATTTGGGTTAAGACAAAAAGTGGATGCACCTGAACCATTGCAAATGATTTTGGGCAATGTCATTCAGTCTCTAACCACTGGGTACGATAATCCCGCGCAGCCCAACCAGGTCGTCTATACTTATTTATATGGATCAGTCCAATTGCCAGTGACCTCATGGACTGATGCCATGTTTTGGTTTGGCCACCCCTTGCTTCCTTCCAACTTACTCTTACGGTTCTACATCGCCTGTCGTGGTAGGGAGGGGTTGAACATACGTATTACATATCTCAGCCACTTCAGTCGATAAAGATCTACTACCTCATCAACCGATTTCCCGTCGTTACCTAGTACTCTGTTCTTAGCCCAGTTATTGCTTACTCGGTGGTCCGAAAATACGCGAGCAATGCTTCGTAAACACCTATGATCGAGTACTAGTAACCTACGAATATCCTCTGCATACGATAATGATATATAACTAGGTTTCAAGTAACATCGTTGATAGACTGTAAAGCTGGGTGACACGGGATCGAATCCTTCAGGGAGCATCAGTTCCCTCAACATTACAGGTACACCACTTCTAAATGCTCTGGTACGGCCGAGAGTAGGGAGAGTCAGCTCTCTAGGATTTAAGGGACAAATGGCGTATGCACGTACCGTTGGTCACCGGCTACCATAGAACTGCATCTCCTGACGTTGCTCCTCTGCCTCGTGGATTAGACCTCCAGGTCGAAGGCTCGGGATGTGGCCACCTAAGAAAACCATCTGCTTCGATCTGGGCACCCGTACAGTATCCCAGTCCTCACACAAATCGAACGATTTATGTGGCGCATATCTGTTTGGCGCCTCCTTATACCAATGTTTATGTGTTTGAATGAAAATGAAGATATATTTAAATTATTTTAGTAGTTCTAACCAGCTGGTCGTTTCTTCGTACTGTGTCATTATATATATATATATATCCTCTGTTATCTGTGGTCGTCGCTGATTTTTGTGTTGGAATCGCTTATCACTTATACCTATAAAGCGAGGAAACACTGTAACTCTCACGATGCGAAAGTAAGAACACAAAGAATGGTACAAATGAAGATTTACTAACCTCGAAACACGACGACATCGACTCTAGTGGAAAATACACTCATTTATATATTGATCCGTACATCCATTTTGATTATTAATTATAATGAAATCACATATATGACAAATGACATGCTACATGTCATGCTGAACATAGTTCATATTAATTTAATGCAAGAATATCGTATGTTATACAGAATAAAATATTATACGGGAAAGCAAAACAAATACTACACTGTATAATCATCACATAGGGAATTAATGTTGAACAATAATCATAATGAGTAAATCAATCTAATTTGGACTTTTCATCCTTTCATATCATCTTCTATCCAATAAGACAACTATCGATAAACAGTTGAGGAGATAAGGGGTTTAAACAATAAGCTAATTAAAAATAAATAGAGTAGTCATAGAACATAAAATATCGTAATCAAATAACGAAACCAATGAGCAGCGTCATAGTTTCTAATGTCAATCTAAATGAATTCATGATTCATTTCGAAACACTTCAATAGTTTTTTTTTCTGATTCATTCTATTTGTACATATCTGCTGAATTGTGATAAATTGTCATGAAAAAATATGTGATTTCTAAGTTCAATAATAAAATTACTTTATCACACAATCTTAAAAAAATTATTTACTAATCAATTGTTTATTCGCTATTACCATATATTAACATTTATGTTAAAAACCGACGGTATATATCTGTGAAAAAATTTAGTTGTATGTGACAATTGTATTGAATTTACATCAGTCAAATTTTATCTGTGTTCATCTACAGACTAACATAAGCCAACTGTAAAGTTGAAATCTATGGTCACAGAAACAAGAATATTTTACATTCAACTACTTTTGTATGTTTGATGCACTGAATTCATAAAAATTTAGTCAGTGGTATTTTTATATACTATCTAATTCCTGGGTTATTTAAATGAATAAGTCATAATTTAAATAAGCAATATTATCGAACTACTACATATCAGAGGAATGAACGACAACTGCATAGTTGGTTTTACTGCTAAAATAAGTGAAAATGAGAGACGTTTCAATATTTTGTAACAAAATTCGGTACGAACTTAATGGATAGTAGTAGATTACTGGAAACATAACCATTCAGAGTTTTTTGTTCACTTTAAATTTGTTTGAAACATGAATTAAAAATTCCTCTCAGTTTACTTTAACTTAAACGAACGGACAGTTAACATTTAACAGTCTTCAAACAAACATATATCATAGGAATCCCGATGAATTCAGTGTACTTCTAGGATAATTTAATTGCAGGTTTTTAAAGAATAAATTGATTTTAATTAAATCTGGTGAGTAATTAAAGCTAGAAACGCAAACTTTTTAATACCGACTCAGTAGTCTAGAGTTCAAACACTCGCTCGATCTGTAGGTGTTAGATTTGATTTCCAATGGGGTAATAGATACTTACTGTCAATGTCTCATACTAGGATAAAACGGCTGTCCATTGGTATCTCATAGTTTTCAGTTGTTGCCTATAATCGGTTTTTAATATCAACTATGAAAGTTGTAGTTACTCAACTGTTAAATGTTTTTCTCTATATTTTCATTTCATTCTAAAAAGCTTTATCTAATAAAAAAAAACAATAACGTCAATCCGTTAATTATTATTTTGTAGTTATCTATGGGAGTTTGTGCATATCTTTTCAAAGAATTCCACTGAAGAACTTCGACATATCTACAGACATGCTGTGAAACGTCGATTAAAAGAACAAAGAAAAAAAACAAACGATGCCGATTTCAATTTTTCACCAAAACATCATAAGAATTCATTACGTAATAGCAATAGTAGTATAGATTATTCTGAAACGACATCAAATCATCATTCTTCAAATCGTGACTACCATAGTAATAATAATAATGATAACAATACTGGTAATGCTGCATTATTTCGACGATATCATACAAATAGATTATCATCACATGACCGAAATGATCGTCATGAACAGCATAGTGGTTACAGTCATGGCGGACAGAATAAATATTATAATAATAGTAATAATGATTGGCCTTCTTCCATTACAATTTCACATAAAGAATTCAATCGAGATAGGTAGGTTATTTCATTTTTGTAATGGTTTTAGTTTTTCTTGGGCGTTTTGTTTGTATTTGTTTTATTTTATTTTCTTGCGTTTTTATCTTTTTTTCCTCAGGAACAACAATAGTTCCCGTTTTAATAACGCTTTTAATCGTCCACCGGGTCAGTCGAATGTAAAACATCACAAAGATAGTGGAGGTTTTACTTCACAGATGTATTCTTCACCTCGTGTCGCCTCTAGTCATTATCATCATCAACAACAGCATAATTCCAGTAGTTATTCTTCTGTTCATTACCCTTGGACTAATTATTCATCATCAGACGATATGATAAATAGTTCTTCCCCTAAAATGGAAGCATACAAATTTACCTCACATTATCCACCTGTGTTATCATCATCATCATCTTGTTTGCCTGAATCGATTATCTCAACTACCACCACTACCAAAACGCCATCATATTTCTCATCCATGGGACAATGTCTTCCCCCGCCACCTCCTCTTCCGCCCCTTCTACAACAACAACATACAACTAGTCAACTATCACGTGATCCTCGACTTTCCTCATCAAGAAGATGATGTTAGCGATGAATAAAGAGCAGACAAAAATAAAATTGAATAGTGTACAGTCAATAAACACTTATGTACAATGTAACTTTTATATATATATATATATATATATATATATATATATATATATATACCCCTTATCACCTTCCGATTTGTACTTATTATTATTTTTTTCTGTAAAAAAGAACCAAATCCAGAAAAGATTTAAATGCATTTCTCTTGATAATCCTGTTTTTATTGATATTAGTGACGATGGTTGGTGCTTATATCGATAATGATAAGACCTCTGTAAAGCTACTTGTTTGCCTTTTGTTTTTGGTTGTCTTATTCAAACGAAAAAAAATCATCACTTCATTCTATGACGATGGGCCTGGCGTAGTCTAACAAACTGGTATTTATGGTATAAAAAATAGGTGGAACTTTTATTCGGTAGTTAGAATAATGGGCTGATCTTTGTTGGACAACCATTAAAAACAAGGCGTTAGATAGCTGTTTTATCTTAGCATAGGACTTCTCAGCTGTGTTTGTCTGTGACTCCACCACAGGGAATCGAACTCACGACCTTTAGACCTCATGGCTAGCTCCTTACCATTAGATCACTGGGTCGGCATCTAATGGTTTATATTTCTAACTTCTATCAATTCTCTATATTGCACAATTACAGAGTTTAACAATCTTTACAAACCCCCTATCTGCTAAACTTATTATTTTTGTTTATTTGACATAAAGTCCGGTACTATTAGGCACAAAAATCAGTATGCGTTACACAAATAACGATACATACTATTACTGTTTTGAATTATCTGAATTACATCCTATCAACAGAATGCACAAATTAGCTTGATGCGGTTATTCGTTATGAACCTAACTAGACCGACATCTACTGCCTTAACTCAGTCTGACTAGTAGTGCTTTCGTGATTTAACTACCCATTTGTAAGAATTGTAATTTTTTTAATAAATACATTTATCTGGCGATACAGTGCAACTGTACATTCAGCTATTAATGTCCGCGGGTTTTGTACTCGTAGTTCAATCGCTCTCTACTCACCAAGCTCAACCCACTCCGGATTTCTACTTGTTCCTAATGATCATTTAGCGACAATACCGAAGCATGAAACAATGAGGCATCCAAAGAATCCGGTTTTTCAAGAGGGATGTTTTGGCCGATGAAAATATTGCCGAAAATAGCCATTGGGGTAATGGCAATTTTGATTGATCTACCCTGTCTTTTAAAATAAAGTTCTTGTAACTTTGGTCCATTTATTTATTAAGACTCAATGCTAACCTACTATTAATGTGCTTGGTTTAGATACCAGTCTCTCTGTCCTTACAAAGTATTTTCGTGTTTACATTAGATACAAACGTCTTATCAAACCGTTGAGTGACACCAATAGCATTGATCACTATCATAAATTCATAACTAATCTACTGAACTGTTGTACCCATAACAATCGTCATGTTTGTAGATTAAAAGGTGTAATCATTGAAGGTGCACCAGCATAGATTTATTTTCTTCCAAACATTAACTCTATTGCTCGAGCTTCTTACTACTGTTGGATTTTGATCAGTCATCGAGAGTTTTATTCAGGTTTTCATAACGCAAGAAATTCTAACTCCCATAGTCAATATTTACATGAATTGATATCGTATTTTGGTTTGATCACCGCTAAATTGTTTCCTATTAATAATCAAACACTTGAAAATCTTTGAATGACTGCTCTACAGAATACTCGTCGTAAACGGTATAAAATAACTATAACTTCTAATGTTATAAGGTAAGATAGTGAATGAATACATTTGAACTACTGTTATGAGTCTTGAGTTGTATTAACTAATGTCTTCAACCATTGATCAGGAATTTGCTCAACCCTAACCGACTAATCTACTCATTAATACGACTTAGACCAACAGATTTTGGTTTGGATATCTCTAACTTTCTTTTCAATCCGTCATCATACTAGCCAGCATTAAAATATAACCAGTTATGAGGAATGTTTTGATACCGAACTAGTAATTCTTGACCAGCATTTATGATAAGCATCTGAAACTGTCTTTTGAAATTTGTCCACCGATTTGTATAATTGGTAAGTTATCCATAACCAAACAGTTATCCTGTTTCTAAAATGCTGTCAAATATAAATTAATTTAGTTTAGATCAAGTTAGTTGCGTCCATGTTACTTTAGTATTGGAATTTCTAGTTATATCACTAAACGATTTATTTTATCTCTGAAAGTGCGTCCTCATTTGAGGGAACTACAAGATCTACAATTGACCAATGAATATCAACGCAGCTTCATTTAAGTTCACTTTTTAGTCGACATTAACATCGAATACAACCAGGTTACCCCTAAATATGCCATTGATCATCACTAAAGATTCGATTGTTCATTGTTTATTATTTGCTACAGAAATAGAAATTGTCTACACTGATTGATTACTAAATATCGACCAGTGTATTGTTTGTCCATTCCTTAGTGTTAGTCGATTTCTATCCACTAAGTTACACTGGTCTAATTCATGCGACATCGCGCTCACTGTTTTGATAATTGATCAGTGCACCAACTGGTCACTGCTCAAATAGCTTAGTATTAATGTGTCGGACTTTCAGATTGAGTAACTCGGGTTCGAATCGTCCTTGGAGTGTCAGTTCCTTCCAGACTGCAGGTACGCGTTTTTAATGAATCCTAGCTAACATAGAACCAGAGTTGAACAGAGTATCCTAGTGACTATATCTGACCACTTAATTACTTACTTACTTTCGCCTGTTGCTCCTCGCGAAGGAGCATAGGCCGCTCATCAGCATTCTCCATCCAATCCTGTCCTGGGCAATCTTTTCCAGCTCTTTCCAGTTGTTATTCATCCTTTTCATATCTGATTCTATTTCCCGACGTAATGTCTTTGGCCTTCCTCTTTTCCTCTTCCCTTCAGGATCCCAAGTTAGGGCTTGCCTAGTGATATAGTTTGATGATTTACGTATTGTATTCCCTATCCATTTCCATCGTCTTTTCCTAATGTCCTCTTCAGCTGGAGGTTGGTTTGTTCTCCTACAGTAGGTTGTTACTGATGGTATCTGGCTAACGGACATTCAGTATCTTGAGCAGACAGCTGTTTATAAATACCTGTACAATTTTGATGATGGTGGTAGTAGTTCTCCAAGTTTCAGCCCCATACAGTAGAACTGCCTTGACGTTCGTATTGAAGATTCTGACTTTGATATTGGTTGAAAGATGTTTTGAGTTCCATATGTTCTTTAATTGAAGGGATGTGACCCTTGCTTTGCTAATCCTCGCCTTTACGTCTGCATCTGAACCTCTTTGTTTATCGATAATGCTTCCCAGGTATGTGAAGAATTCTATATCTTCCAGAGTTTCGCCATCAAGAGTGATTGGATTGCTGTTCCTCGTTGTGAATTTGAGGACCTTGGTTTTCTCCTTGTGTATGTTGAGGCCTACTGATGCAGAGACTGCTGCTACGCTGACTGTCTTTATTTGCATTTGTTCGTGTGTAAGCGATAGGAGGGCTAAGTCACCTGCAAAGTCCAAATCGTCTAATTGGTTCTGAGCTGTCCATTGTATGCCGTATTTCCCCTCAGATGTCGAGGTCTTCATAGTCCAGTCAACCACCAGAAGAAAGAGGAAGGGAGAGAGTAGACAGCCTTGGAATGCATCTATCAGCTGTCCTCCATGCACTACTTTGCACTGTGGTCCGTCGTATGAGTTCCGGATAATGTTGACAATCTTTTCAGGAACTCCGTAGTGTCGAGGAAGTTTCCATGACGTTCTCCTATCTACACTGTCAAATGCCTTTTCATGACCAATGAAGTTGATGTACAGTGACGAATTCCACTCAATTGATTGTTCGACGATGATCCGTAGTGTCGCAATTTGGTCTGTGCACGACCGGTCCTTACGGAATCCAGCTTGTTGATCTCGAAGTTGAGCGTCTACTGTGTCTTTCATCGTGTTCAGTAACACTCTGTTAAAGACTTTTCCTGGTACTGACAGTAGTGTAATGCCTCTGTAGTTTTCACACTAGCTCAGGTCTCCTTTCTTCGAAATCTTGATCAGGTGTCCTTCCTTCCAGTTCATCGGCACTTGTGTATACGTTTGTGTGGAAATATTGTGCCGCCTATGACCAATTTGTTGAATGCACACAGATTTACAAATCTTTCCCCGTTTTCGTTTCTCCCTCCCAGTCTATGTAGTCCCATGATATCTTCATATCCGGTGTTGTCTATTCCCATCAGAATGGTGAGGTCTTTTCTTGGGCACTTCTCTATGATTGACTGCAGCCTCTCATAGAATTGATGTTTAATGTCGTCGTTGCTATCATTGGTGGGTGCATAACATTGGATAATGTTCATTGTGATTCCCTCCTCTGTTTTGAATGATGCTTTGATGATTCTGGATCCGTGAGATTCCCATCGTACAAGTGCATTTCGTGCTACTTTGGACAGCATTATAGCAACTTCCTGAGTGTGTGGAGCATTTTCCTCTTCGTGATCGGAGTATAGCAGCATCTCTCCCGTATTTAGCCTTTGTTGTCCAGCTTGGGTCCAATGGGTTTCGCTGATTCCCAGTACTGCTAAGTTGTATTTCCTCATTTCCGTTGCTATTTGACTGGTCTTCCCGGTCTCCCACATTGTCCGGACGTTCCATGTACCTATAAAAATTGTTGCTTTGGTTGTTAGAAGGGGCATCGGCCTCATGGCTTCCGAAGGAGCTCGACTTTCACCATGAGGCGTCATATTTCTTCTAAATGATGACCTTCTAACTCCCAGGGCAGAGTTTAAATGGTTTGAGTTATCTTTTCTGGTTAGCGTTTTTTAGCGAGTTAGTTTTCTACGGAATGGTGACGCTAATCCCATGCCCAACCCTCCTCCTTTACCCAGGCTTGGGACCGGCAATAACTCTAGGAGAGCTACAGGCGGAGTTCTGACCACTTAATGAGAACACTTAATTCTTGCAAACTTTTTTTTAACTTGTCACCATTTGAATATGATTTTCACAACCATGCATTCATTAGTTTCAAAGTACATACCTAGATCACAGTTCCAAGTAAAGGTCAATTACAACACATTTACATAATGACTACAACCTAGATCACTAACTAACTGAATTACTAAGTATCTCACTTATCATTAAATTGTCAATCTATTTATGTCAAGTGACATCACGTTTCTCTTGAGAGAAAAAAAGTTTAGTTGATTTAGTCTGATTCGTATGATGATTGATACTTTATATCAATAAGTGCTAAGAAAGTTGAATTGAACTGATAGCTTCTCAATGATAATT